TAATACCTTATAACATTTAAGATACATTCATATTCAAAATATTCTTCATTCATCAGATTATATAAATAATTAAAGCATATAATATATTAAAAAGTGCATTTAAAATATATTCTATAATGAAAAAGTATTTGAGGAAAAGTGTATACTTTCATGTTCGATAAAGTTGACGTTGCCATTAGAGAAACTATCTAGCACTCTTTACAACAAGTCCATTATTGCAGAAAATTATCTGATGTGAATTGAACACACCTTTAAACACAGAAAATTAAAAGAGAAAAACAGTGAGAAAAAGAAAAACATTAGTAATATGCAGCGGATGTGCTTTGTAGAGAACAAAAAGGAGGAGCAAGTGGAGCAGCTTGAGGAGCAACGTGACACTAACTTCATAGAGGTGGCGACAGAACAGACACCAAACATGAGGGGAATGAAAAGGGACTGGATCTTTAGAGTCCAGGTAATTGTTAATAATTATTGTTATTAAATTCCAAGTCCCTACTACTTCTAGTAAGTAATATTAAAATAAATAATGTTACATCTTCTTACACGAATTTATTAATTATGTAGGTGCAGAAGCTAGAAAAAAATGAAGTTCTATATGTGGTGGGTAATTTACCTGAATTAGGTGCATGGAATCACAATCAGGCAGTTCAAATGTCACAAGAAAATGGCAGTCAGGATCCTCCCATGTTTTTCGATGGTAATAGTAGGAGAGAATTTTATAATGATGATGCAGGAGACATATACCGTGATGAAGATGATGAGTAAGTAAAAACTTGTTTATGGCAGCTTTTTTTCTAATTGAGTAAAACATTATTGGAAACCTATATGGATTCTATATCAATTGTATAGTGCCATACAATCATATGTATCTCTTATAAATTTTCAGAAGTGGCCAAATATTTTCACAAAAAGTTTCACTTCCTATTGACACTGATATAGAATTCCGATACTTTGTTGCTGTTATTTGTCAATCTAATGGTACTAAGAATTCGGCCAAAACTCTTATTATCTGCCGTTGGGAAACACACATGATACCTCGTCTTATCAGGAAAAATAGTATGTACTACAATATGTAATACAAAAAATATGATTGCATAATAGTATTTCCTTTCAATGGAGCAATACATTTAATTGAAATAATTGTCACAGTTCCTAGCAATTTTACTCAGGACTCATTGCCGGATCCAGACTCGTTTGGATACTACAATGGCTATTCAAAAATTGAACGGGGATGGTTAACGGATGAAACTGTGATACAATTTAAGCTATTTGATAATCCAATTAAGTTATGGAAGAACCGATTGCAGAATAGGAAACTTCACATTAAAGTATGTACTCCGAAATTATATTTTATATTTCATAAATAATAATAATAATATTCTTATAATCTTAAAAAATGCATTTGTGTTTTAGATGACACCTGTAAATCTAGTTAGACATAATTCCTTAGAGTTACAGCAATTTGGTGGAGATTGTGTAGATGATAGTCTTTCTGTGGATACACAAGATGTTGTTGATCAACCTGCCTTTAGTGTTACAGAAATTGCGGTATGTATAATATTCTTCTTTTTGCAATATAAGAATATTTCGTAAATATTAATTATAAATTTTAGGTAATGAATGATGAAGAAGCACACTTCAAGATTCAGGAGCAATTTGGCCGAGCTTATCACGAAGATGACTTTATTGTCTTCAATGTTGCCGTCCGATATCCTGAAACAATTGTAAGTAATCACACAATGAGTTCGATCGAAAAGTCATAATGAATACACGGCACGATGAATAACCATTGGTTAGTATTTATTGCTTGCGTTACTTGCAATTTTGTATAATATATATTATGTGTGTATAATAAATTTTCAGTATTTATTTCAAAATCAATGCTTTCTATCTTTTATATTGACAGTTCTGCAAATGGAAATGATAAAGGCATGTCTACAAAAATGTATTGATTAATGTCAGCAAATAAAATAGAATGGTTCTTTTTGATTTGTCACCTTGGTATAGAAGACAAAAGTACATCTTTGTTTAATATATAAGTTAAATAAGCGAGTAAAAATGTTGATTACCTAATAGTAGGCTTGGCAGAGCAATAAATGACAAATTAGTGGTAATTCATGAGAGAAGTAGATACATTAAAGATACGCATTGACCATACCATGTGAGTTTTCAGTAGACCACGAGTAGGCTGGCCACGTCTTCTCTCGCGATTTGTTAAAATTACTTGGTAAAAGATAATTAAACTTGTTCAGCAGCTATTGCCCTCCTTGGAAACCAGAAGCGATGTCACGCGCACCGGCCTGGATTGAAGACAACCGTCAGCTTTGTACAAAGCAAGACCTCTGGTGCAAATGACGATGCTAACATGCAATCTGATGTATCGATGCTAAGCATCGTCTACCACTTTACATCTGTGTCACATGACATCACACAGAGATATGATGGTTTTGATTGTCGTTCGCCCTACCGTACCTATCCTCAAGCTGGCCTCTTGTAAATCTATAAATTCTAAATAATTGTATTCTTATGATTGGAATTTATTAAGATTTAATTAGATGGAATTATTCATGGTCCACATGATCTGTTTGTGATACGTATATGTATGACGGTTTACATGAGTCACAGCTATCCTAAGCAACCCCAAAAATTTAAAGATGTCAACGCTATCACACCTCATATCCATCTGTGTGCGTCGAAAATGGTGAGGCTCCCATCACTCCTATATCCTTTTAGTGTATTACTAATATTTTTTAGCTGATCAACTCTACCATACGTGGCACCGCTGCGCGGCCAATGTCAGACTAAGCTGTCAGAATCTTCTGAATCCGAATTACAATCTTTGCAGATTTGATATCGAAATTTAATCATGAATGATCGGCAGGTGTTGCGGGATACGCGTCACCAGGCAGAGTACAGCATTTGGCAATTATTGGTCTGGTTCATTGCTAGATTATATAGGAAATAAATTACCCTCCTCCTATTGTTTACTAGTAATTTGTTGCTCTTGCCGACTAACGTTTAATACTATTAAGAGAATTGAAACATTTAATAGATGAAAAGAAACAGAAGATGTACACATGTCTTGAATAATATGGTTTAGTTCCTACAAATTTTAGTGAGCAAGGATTGTTAATAATTTGCCATAAGCTCTTCATGATTATTAGAACTTTTAATATTCTTATTTCTTAGTCTAGAGAAATTTAGAAAGCGATTCTTCAAAATGAATTATTTTGATTATTGGATTTAATTGATATTGGAATAAGTTCTATAACGAATAAGCAAAAAATACTGATGCATTTGGTGTTGTCATAAATAGAAGTATTTTTCCATATATATTAAGTAGACTGTTTTTTCAGGCATATTTAGTGGACTACTACGTGTACAGCTCAAGGAGTTTTCCAGGAGAACCACCAAGTCATATTGGTTTCAGCTACATCTTACCTAGTACATTACAATCTAGTGTTGGACTTTTAACGGTACCAATTACAAGTACAAAACACAGACCAATTGGTAAGAAAATAATTTAAATTTCTATTTTTAGTTTTTTCTTGCCGTTGTAGAAAGTAGTTAAAGATAGTCTCTTTCTTTTTTATTTTAGGACAACTTACAGTTGAATATGTTGTGATAAAATCAATTCCGGATTACCCATGGGACATGAGTATATCTTACGCAAAACATTGGGAACAGCGGTGGTCCGGTTTGGATGTGGGACATAGGGGTTTAGGTACATCTTTCCATACAAAAAAGTAAAGTATCACTATGTCACTATGAAAAAGTAAATATTTGTATAATTATTAGATGTGGAAATTTATATTTTTTTATTATTTTCAGTTGTGCTAATGTACGTGAAAATACCATAGCTTCTTTAAAGACTGCGTCATATCATGGAGCTGATATGGTCGAATTTGATGTCCAATTGTCTAAGGATCATGTACCTGTTATTTACCATGATTTTTATGTTTCCATTTCACTGAAACGTAAAAAACAAATAGAAGCTATGGACATGCTTGAAATACCGGTTAAGGATCTTACATTAGAACAGCTACACTTATTAAAGGTACTTGCTATACAAATACATATTATATTCATCTAAGTATTTATTGTATAATATACAATATAATGTATTATTTCTATCGATATCAGGCATACTTCTTATTCCTGTTCATTTATTTACAGTTTATATTCTAGGAACGAAGACCTCGAATTTTATTTTCCTATTTTATTGATAAATACTCTTTTTCTTAAACACAAAAAGTTATTTCAAATTTAATATTTTATTTTTAAATTATCTCAATCTAGATACGACGTGGGGGTCCATCGGGCGTAACATAAAATCTTAAAAAAACATTGCACTGTCATTTGCATTCTGCAACACCATGAGATGCAAACGAAAACCATTAGATCTTCTTCTTTCTTATCGAGAAACTATAACAATCTTTCTCGCCTAACACTAACCAATGGAGAATGCGGCTTTCAATAATGCTACGCGTGTCAATGTTTCGCTTTTTATGTTCCTTTTTTGTATTGAAGCAGAAATCGAAAACAACAGGGAATTCTATCGTATGTAAAAGCACATGACATCAAATCATGAACTTCTAGAAGTAGCATACCTATTCGTATTTGTCTCTTTTTTAATATTCAACAGGATTTTTATTACCCGGGAGACTCGTTGGGTAAGGTGCTGTATGTCGTTGATAAAGCTGAACAGAAGGTTACCCAACTGGTGAGCTTTCATTCGCTTGCGCCACCTAACTTGTCGCTAAAAATTTATAACTAATTGGTTTTTTAAATAATTCGTTGCATGCTTACATAAAATTAATTCTAAAATTGATTAAATCGATTTTTTAAATCATATCATACTGCTGCAATGCGTGACTTCTAAAAATCACATTATAGTGCTATAATATGCACATTATGCTTTGATCATAAGGCTAAAAGATCCAACCCTGGTATTATAAGTAATTGAGATAATTTACCGATTATCATGATTTATAAATGTGGTCGTACCGATTCATCTCTGTAAAAGTGCTTTTTGATCCTTATTCTTAGGACCAATTTTTTTTTAGTGAATTTCCCTCTCTCTCTCTCTCTCTCTCTCTCTCTCTCTCTCTCTGTTCTCACATGTCTGTAAGAAGGTAAAGTGCAAAATATTATTTCCTAAAAAAATTTATAAAAATATATTGTCATGGCATATGAATAATATCGTGGTGAGCATGATATTATTTTTAACATGTTTACATCACTATGGAGTGTTTACTTTTTCTGGCTTAATCAGGAATATGTTACATCAAACCATTTCATTATTTTTAGTTTATCTTTATTAAATTAACATTTTCTTGCAGGTCTATCATGTGGCTGAAGGTCGAGAAAAGAATCCAAGATTTTTTGATGAAGACTTAGAAGACCATCAACCTTTCCCTACTTTGCAGGCTGTACTGCAAGAATTGGAACAACATGTTGGATTTAACATCGAAATTAAGTGGACTATGCAGTTGAAGGTAAATATAATGAACTTACGTCTAAATATTTTATCTCTATAGTTCTACATAGTAAAATTACACTTATGTACACAGGATGGCACATTCGAACTTAATCATCCCTTTGATCTCAATCTCTACTTGGACACAATACTCAAAGTCGTTCTAGAATATGGAGGAAATAGAAAAATTGTTTTCTCATCCTTTAATCCTGATATTTGTGCCATGATTCGACTTAAACAAAATAAATACCCAGTAGTATTTTTGACACAAGGCATCACTTCGAAATATCCTACTTATCATGATCCAAGATGTCAGACAGTAGCAATGGCTGTCAGACACGCTTTGGCTGCTGATATCTTAGGAATTAATGTACATACAGAAGATATTCTTAGGGATCCATCACAAGTTAAATTTGTGAAAGATGCTGGATTAATCATCTTTTGCTGGGGGGACGATAACAATGATAAAGCGACAATTCAGCATTTGAAGAAACTTGGATTACACGCAGTTATTTATGATAAGTACGTAATCTTTATAATTTGAATTCTTGTAACCAGCATATATTGTTATAATATTGAGATTTTCATCATTCACAGAATCGATGAGTATAACGCAAAAGAGGTCAAGGAGAGTATATTCTTGGTTGATGCGAGAGAAAATCAGAAAGCGCTAATTGCTTTAGCGCAAAGCAATCAAGCTAGTTCACAGCAACCTCAAATAACTAATCCAATCAACACAGAAAAGGTGAAATTTTATAGTTCACATTTTTTATAGAATAATACAATTGTTAACATCATTATGTTGGTTATTCATATTCTTTAAACTATTTAATTAAATTATAAATATTACAATAATTATAATATTGTAATTATAGTTGTAAATTGTAATCCTAATTTAAAGTTGTAAATTATTTTTATCATAGGATTATTACATGGATGTTGATAAATCGCAAAATATGATCACAACCGCTCCGACTACAACTTCGCTTACATCTTTTGGTAAGAATACTAATGGTGGCGATAATATATATCCCATGACAACTATCAAATTATCAACTACATGTGACCATCAGGAGAGCAAAGAAATCAGTGAAGTAACAAAGGATTTTAATGATTGCGCAAAACCCTTCGGCCGTACGTTAAAAGCTAAGGACATCTCAGACACAGTTTGTAGACAAACGGCTGTGGTACCTGAAATCTATGGAGAGGATGAGTCTGCAAAAAACTGTCTTTGATGTTTCTTCTTTAACAAGCCTTTTCGATCTTGGTTTTAACATAGAAGGCATTGTCTAGGAGAGGACCTGTCACAAAGAGGAAAAAAAATTGAAAAAAGAAAAGAGAAATCTTATCGTAATTCATAGTTTACTATAATATTTACATAAAGGCCATTGATTCGATTGTATAATGCGCAAGAAAGATGATCGATTGCAATTTTTACATGATTCGGATGATCGATCAACTTGATTGTCCATTTTATATTACATCTTACTTTTTTTCAAATATTTCAAATATTGATCAAGTTCGGTATCGGTTATACGAAAAAAGTTTAACTCCTATTCTGCCTGTGGAAGATAAATGCTGAAACTAAGTTGTTAGTACAAATATCCTCAATGTTTTCATATAGTTCATAAAAGTATCACTNTTGATAAAGCTGCAGGGTAACTATTTTTTAATAGCCATAGAACATTATACGTTTATTTATTTATCTCTCCGATTATTTTTTTGTACAATATTATTAAAACTAAAT